TTCCTTGCTAAACACGTAGGGTGGGAAGCAAATCGTAGAAGTCTTTGTTCCTTATAGAAAACAAAAATTATGCTCCACAGAGATGATTGTGACGACAGTAATATCTAGAAAGAGCAACCACGTCTTCTCCTTTCCACCTAATCCTTAAAATATTGTACTCCTGCTGACAAAAAAAATTGAATGTTGTACTCTTATATTTAAATACTTATTCAGTTAATTATACATTTTTTTTAACAATTAACAACTAAAACTCCTCTTAACAGGTATCCATGTGGACACCATGTTAGTTAAACCGTTGATGAAATGGCAAAGTGCACCATCAAGAATAAATCTCTGTCATTTAAATATCGTATACCGTACAAAAAACTGATATCAGTCGTATTCACCCGTAATCAAGATGTTGAAACACATATGTACGTTTCTTTCAATTAACGTCGAATCCATCATGTCAATCAATCTGAGAATGCGTAAACCCACAAGTCAAAAAATATTTATCCAAATGCTTTCACCAACTCAGTTTGAAATTACCTAAAAAAAATGAGTGTGAAAAACTTTATCCAAGTTAGGAATTTCACACTAAGTTTTTTTTCTAAATTACGTATTTTCTTCTGTCTTCTTTGGCCAAATTCTTGCCCAAGCAACAATTTAGTCTCATATTTATTTTTGTATTTATTTCATCTGTTTCCCAATAGTTTAAGGGCCACGACAGATGAATAATAACTTCCCCTGCTAATCAATTTCTGCATTTAAAGAGGCCTCCTCGTGGTGTTAATGTAGAGATTTTTTATGGAAAAATGTAATTTGGTTTTCAATATTTGGTTTATGTGCCAAATTGATCTCTAATATTTCGGTTAAAATAAATTTAATCCTCAAAGGTTGTGATTTTGGCACACTAATCTTCATTCTCATGTAATAATTAAATTTGTTGGCATATTAAATCAAAGCTCAAAATTAGAAATTTTCATATTATTATTTAGTAGTGTTTTCGTTAAGTTAGAGTTTTAGTAATTTTATTGGAGTTAAATTATGGTAGTTTTACTATTTAGGAATTATTATCTTATTAGAAAATTTCTTGTAGTGTAAGACTTGTTTATCAAGTAATTTAGTCTATAAATAGAGAGTCATATTATTGTATTTAGTTGAGAAAAGTGAAACATTTGAGAGCCTTGTTCTTATGATGTAATTAATAAATTATTAGTGATATTATTCCTTTTCTCCCACACATATTTTTATGTGTGTAAATTGTCTCCCCTCATATTGGTTTTGTCAAATATATTCTCCCCATATTTTTTGGTTCTACAAAACTGAATCATGGTTGAGATAAACAAATCTTCACGGCAGACAATGTAAAGTACAAAATTAATCCCAAAATTGAACTGCCACATGAAGCAACCAAGCTGCGCCATTTAAAACTAAAATTCAACCCAGCCTTGTATTTGAAAAATTATTGTAATTTTCTGTTCTGCTGGATCAAAAAATTATAACCATTAGCACTTTTATTGTATAACTATCATATCATCTCCTAAAATATTAAAACATTTTGAATGATAGTCATCTTCAAATAAATCTTTTTCACGAATGATGTTTCCTCAGTTAAAAAAAAAAAAATGTTTCCTCAATACAACTGGGTAAACGACCTAAAAAGTTGTCTATTCTTCAACATTTGATTTCCTTCTTTTATCCCTTAAAAATCAGATTCTCTGCTCAATTTAATGCTTAAACTTTCCTGGTACAGCTATTTACATTCCTTCAGGAAACTTGAGCTTTTTTACTAAAACAATTCACTATATGATAATTGCAAAATACTTAATGAACTTCATTGAATAACTTCTCACAAAATTATTACACTATATTAGAATAGGAGTTCCACGAAAAGGACTTGTAATTTGAACCATGGACAAAAGTTTAAGGACCAAAATCAATTGAAAATGAAAGTATTAATAATTAAAATAAACTAAAAGCTTGGAGACTAAATAAATCTTCTGATAACCGTTTTACAATTAAAGAAATATTCACCAAAATATGTTTTTAAAACCCTACACTATATCAACTTTTTAATAAAATTAGAAAAGTAATAGGCCAAAGTGGTTAAAGGGCTACGTGTGGTCAATGGTTTGTCAAAAATGAAATGGATTGAACATGCCAATTTAAAGTATTAGGCCAAAAAAACTTGCCAATTTCTGCAAAGAAATAGAATAGTTCAATAATAGCTAAAGCTGATTGAGTGAATGCTTTCGACGGTTTACGTTAGACCTTGTATACTTAATTTTGTTTGTCTTACACTTCTGTAGCTGTCTAATGCTGAAAAATTCTATGATGACTTTCTCCAGAACAAAACACAGAAACAGAAACAAAAAAGTCCAGGTTGACCTTTTCAAAGAAAAAAGAAGAAAGAAAACTTCTACCTGAGTAGGTAAAGGGCAAAATCCAGAAAACGAAAACACAAAAAGTAGGAAAATTTCCACAATGGTTATGTCTTGAATCAATATTTTCAATTTGGTATGTGATGTAGCGTATGCACCTGGAATAGTCTTAATTACCGATTTTGAGATCTCGTCTTAATTACTGATACAACCGTGTGATTAAAATGGCAAGAGAGGTGGAAAAAGAGAACAAACTTCTATGCCATTTAATCTTTTGCATAATTTCCAATTTGTTATCTGAATTCAATTTTTTCCTAGATTTCCATCTAAAGCAAAACAGTAAACTCGATGTACATGACTTGAGTTCGTATTAGAAGCAAGTTTTGATTAAGTAATTAACTTTCAATCATTCTTAGGACCTAACTGTTGTCCTTTACTGTTTAAAATACATTGATGGTCAAGGTGCCAATTGTTTGGATTCAATGGGAAAAAGTAAAATTATTGCACACTTTTGTTGGTTAAAGTGATTTTAATACTATCTAAAAGCCCTACAACCGAAAGACACCTATTCTCCTCAAGTCTCTCCATTCTTGAACCCTTGGCACATTTACCCACTTAAACACACGCAAATGGTGCCAATTGAAGGATACTCCATTCTCTTGGTGACAAAAATCTTGTGATTTTTATGAATGGTGTAATGATGTTAGTAGGGAAGGTAGCAATTGATATGAAAACCTAAATATGGATGATGGCATATAGAAGGATGTCAAGAACATCGTGCTCGAATGACCGCTAGTTCGAGAAGTTGTTCAAAGTAATATTGAGATCATAAAAAGCGAAATGTTGATACCGCTTTCCTATTTGTTAATGTTGTCATTTGCTCATGTTGAACGAATAAAATGCTTCTGCTTTTCATTTTAATTACAATTTTTTCCAAAAAAAAAAGGGTGCAACATGTAAATTCAATGAACGATTTTTTTTTGGGTGTAATTCACATGATCAAAATATCAAGAGTGATATTAACAAAATAGTGGACTTTCATTAACACTTCCGTTTTGAAATTTATTAAATTTTTAGCACACAGGCCGCCAGAGAAATTTAAGAATAGAATTTGCTTGTAAAAGGCTAATTGGATAAACAGGAAATTAAGTTAGACCATTATTTGGTGGTATTTTGGTTGAAGTTGAACGTCTCATCAGAACCTAGGAATTTCTTCGCAACATGAATTTGAACGTTTTATCAGAACCTAGGAATTGCTCCCAATTCATGTTAATGTCAATTGTTTTGGCAATTCTTTGACTTGAATTTCACTACTCTGACAGCCTGCTGCGTGGTTAGCATGCGTGCATGTAGGTATATGAATGGATCGAATCTTAATCAAATCAAATCCAGCCTCAATATACTTAAATAGTGTTTGGATTTAATTTCTCAAAGATATAAGTTATAATCTTCTTCTTCTTCTTTTTTTTTTTTTGACAAAGTCATCCTATGTAGGATTTGGTACGAGTCTCTATCTAAATGATTATAATCCAACCATGCTCAAGTCGGTCACCCATTTATTCTGCGAGCCTTAAAAATCTATTTAAACTGTGCAACATGGTTGTCGAAGCTTAATTTTTATAAGACTTGCAGAACCAACATTTCTTGAACTGGCATTGAGTACAATCAAGAATAACATCTAGTTACTTAAATTAACTGGAGCCAAGTTATCAAAGCTTTTAATGACACATGCCTACGTTTCTGTCTTTGAAATAGTTTGTACAGCAATTAATAATAATAATAATAATAATAATAATAATAATAACAATAGTAATAGCAGCAGCAGCAGCAACAACAACAACAATTCTTTCTTTAATTTTAGTGCGCAATGTTTTTGCTTTTAAATGTTTTATCCTGAAATTATGACTCCGTTTGGAAGGTGTTTTTGAAAGTAAATTTATGAAAATAGAAGAATAATACTATTTGAAATGTAATGCATCTAATTAGGAATGATGACCAAAAAAAAGTTGATTATATTTCCTGAGAAAATTTTGCATAAATTTCTGATTCAAACAGAGCTTATAATTCTCTCACCCATTTCTATTCTAAGACTTCAGAATCTCTTTAAATTGAAAAGCATACTTGTGGAACTTTAATGATTGTGTGACTTGTAAAATCAAGAATTATCTATACACTTCAATGCCGTGTGCGTACCAAAAAAATTGATTCCAACTACTAAAACGACATTCACAAACATACATAGTCGTTACGCTGTGATATATTGATGCGTTACATGGAAATCTTAGCAATACCTACTTCGTTTCTTACAGTTGATTTCAAATTAATCTATCAATCCATCTATGATACAATAAGAGAATTGGTCCTATATAAAGCCGTGCGTTGAAAAGTCAGAAGCCTTGCGTTGAAGAATCTTCAAAACCAAAAAGAACAAGTCAGCTTCTTACATGTTACGCTGTGATGTATCAATGCGTTACATTTCCACACTACACAGTGCCATAATGCAACTATATAAATTGAGTGACTCTCTAAGCTCTATGAATCATCCATACTTGGAAAAGAAAAAAAGAAAAACACTTTTTCCTCTTCTCTTAAAAATTTTGCAAGGTGTAATTTTCTTCAAGATTCTTGAAACTGGTGATGGCTGTGAACAAACTTTTTGGTGCAATTTCTGCACTATCTCTACTGCTTCTTCTTTCGAGCTTTGGTTGTAAAGCACAACTTTCACCTACATTTTATGATTATACTTGCCCGAATGCTCTCACTACAATCCGTTCCACTATCCGGTCAGCGATATCGTGTGAACGGAGGATGGCCGCGTCGTTGATTCGCCTCCATTTCCATGATTGCTTCGTGCAGGTTAGTTTACACGGTTATTTCTCAAAAAAATGATTTAAGTTACACAACATTTCATGTAGTACAGTTTACTCATACATCAACTTAACTTGCTTGGTGAGTTTAGGTTTGGGATTTGTTAGTGCAAGCAATACATTTCATGCACTAAAAATAAATTTCATCCTTTATCTAACTTTGTAAGTCCATTTCAACTTGTACGCTTCATAATGCTGCCTAGCTACTCATAGGGCACTGTTGGAATTCAGATCCGCCCAGGCACTTTAAAGTTCTCTTTCCTTTGGGTCGAATTTTTTAGGACGGGCCCGAATGCCAGCATTTCTTATTAACACATGATGGGCACGCTTGAATAATGATAAATACAATAATTTTTGTTTTCTCACCTCTCAAAATTTGAAACAAGTCTATTTTGTTGTTACTGATTTGCACCCAAAACCTTCTAAAGCTTGTATACTCCACTATTCAACTTGTACTGTTTTCGGTGGCCGCCAATGTTTACATGGGCATGGGTACGTCTTTTAACTGTTCAGAAAGGTGGAAGCCCTCTTACACATGGTGCATACTGCACAATAAGTATTGTATACTTGACCAGGTCTAAGGCAGAATAAAACCATTATGAAGAATGCAAAAACAAAATTGGTCTACTCAAATTCAAATTATATTAAAGGATAACTAGATCTAATCCTTATAGTTAATCATTGCTAGCTCTGGTTGTGTGTGCTTAATCAAAATTGGTTCTGCCCTTTTACAGGGTTGTGATGGATCAGTTTTGCTTGATGAGACCCCTACAATTCAAAGTGAGAAGACATCAAAGGCGAATAATGATTCTGCAAGAGGTTTCAATGTTATAGAGGATGCTAAGACCGCAGTGGAGAAAATATGTCCAGGAGTTGTTTCTTGTGCAGATATTCTTGCAGTTGCTGCAAGAGATTCATCCGCTGCTGTAAGTAAAAATTTAAGTATTTAACCATTTTTTTGAAGTCTTAGAACACAAAGGGAAACCAAAATAACATGCATAAGAGTGGATTATTCACTTTAATCTTTAGCAGTATATGGAGATTTCTGTGCATTATGAAAAATTATTTATTCTCAAAGATTTTACATGGAGAAGCACAAATAAAGGCAGGAAAATTCGTAGTGAAACTAAAGCTATAATGGTTTTCCTATAAAAGCTAATGAGCAGTTGTTCTCCATCGTTTGCAGATTTTGCAAACAATTAACTAATCCGAAATGGTAAAATCTACTTTTTGGTAGAATGCAAATTGTAGCTTTTTCCCTCTTAAAAAATCTAAAATTTAGGCAAAAAAAAAAAAACAACTGAGAACATTAAAAAAAAACTGGATTTAAAAATCAGAATGTAAGATCATGTAAAATAAGTAAACCAGAACACCCTTCAGTTTTTCTCCAACTTAAAAAACATAATTTATGGGAACTTTGACAATAGAAAGTAGAACAAGATAAATGAGATGAGATTATTGGATAATTACACTATGAAAAAAAATAAACATTAGATTGTGGTTCATCATTTCCTTCACCCTTAATACTTACGATTGACAAAATATCAGGTGGGTGGTCCTTCGTGGACTGTAAAGCTTGGAAGAAGAGATTCTACCACTGCCAGTCGTTCCCTAGCAGACAGTGATCTTCCTGCTCCTTTTCACCAGCTTGATAGACTTATTACCCTATTTTCAAACAAGGGTTTTACTCCGAGGGAAATGGTTGCCCTATCAGGTAATAATTGTGTTTCTTTTCATTTTCACTTTTGGAACAACATGCAAAATCTGATTTTTATTTTGAGGGCGTGCACAAAATCAAATTTGCAAAAATTGGTAGAATATTCTTTTAGAATATTTTCCCGATGCACATTCCGAACCACTTCTATCATTTTGTATATGCAAAATAAAAACTTAGCAACCAAACGGCGTATGATTTTATTTTTCCAAAAGAGTACAGGATTTATAAACTAAATTTTTAGTTTTATTGATTGCTCCTTTATGTTTGTTAGGTTTAGGGATGGCAATGGGGGCATGCAGCCGCCCCGCGGGGGGTTGGGGAGGGGGTTGGGGCAGGGGGAATTTTTCCCCCCGTTTAGGAATGGGGCGGGGGTAATTATTTAATATATATATATGTACATAATTATATATATAATGATATTATCAATTATACTACTAATTATACATGTTTCTTAATAAAAATTATTAATTATTTATACTAAATTTATTAATACATTTATATTAAATTCCTAACTACACTTAATACAATAACACTTTTTTCTAAAAAAATACAATAATAATTTAGTGATTATATTTCTATCAAAAGTGAAAACTTGATTATTTTAGTTATATTTATTTTATCATATTAGATTGTATTCAAATAACCTTTATTTAATTATTTTTATGAGTTTTAATTGTGAAATTACAATGAATAATAATTTGGTGATGTGTTGATATTTTAGTACTTGATTATTTACTCAGATTTAATTATAATGAAATTATATAATAAAATTTTTTAAACCCCACGGGCCACAGGTGCCCCCGCGGGGGAAGCTGGGGGCGGTGGACGGGGCGGGGACGGGGGTTGGGGGAGGTGTCCCCCGTCCCACCCCCGCCCCATTGCCACCCCTAGTTAGGTTAAAAGACCAAAAACCTTTTATTCCTTTTTCTTTGTCTGAAACGATAGACCCTATATATATTCTATACTGTGGGGGAGGGGGAATCTAAAGAGGTTCAGAGAGAAATCGGAGGGGACTGAACTACCTACCGACCTAGACGAATGCACTACACGCACTACGCACTCGTTCGGTAGCAACTGGAAGTGGCTTGCCACATTTAGTGACAAATGGTGAGAGGTAGAGTTTGAACCCTGACCTCTCACCCCACCAAGCCTTAAGGTTCTAGTGGTGGCCACTGAGCTAAACCCAGTGGTTCCAATAACCCTTTATTCGTTTAACTATTTGGATACGAAAAGTTTTAAAATGTTAGATATCAAGGGTATTTTAGTCTTTTCACATAAGTTAAAAAACATATGAAAGATGATAGTATATGAAACTAAAAGTAGAGTGTATATCCTATAGCCCTTTGGAAATTGCATTCTATAATATTTTAGGATACAAAAGTAAATAATAGTTTAACATTTTCCATTTTTCTATATGCATATTTAATATATATAGTTTTGATCCTGATAGCGATTATGGACTCGAAATTGAAATGCAGGAGCCCATACGGTAGGCCAGGCACAATGCTTTACATTCCAGCAAAGGATATATAGTAACGGAGCAGATATTGATGCAGGCTTTGCCAGCACCCGCCGTCGCCGGTGCCCACCAACCGGCAGAAATAGCAATTTGGCACCACTTGATTTGGTGACACCAAATCAATTCGACAACAACTACTACAAGAATCTTGTGCAGAAGAAAGGCCTTCTAATATCAGACCAAACCCTTTTCAATGGATCGTCAACTGATAATTTTGTTACAGAATATAGCCAAAATCCTCAAACCTTCTCTTCTGATTTTAGTGCAGCAATGATTAAAATGGGTGATTTAAGCCCCCTTACAGGTCAAGATGGGATCATTAGACGTGTTTGCAGTGCTATAAACTAGAGAGTCAACATCATTTTGGTGATGATTGATCCGATTCAGTTTTGTTTTCAGTATTACAAAATTTGTTGAGTCTCTATATGGTATAATTGTATATGAAGTCTGATTAACGTTTCTTTTGTACTCATGAGTTTTGTTTTTTTATTCTTTCATGTTGTAAGTGTTCAAAATTTTGAATAAAAGCAAAAATGCAATTGTTTTAGTGATTTTTTCTTTTTTCATTTGCTTTACTCTAGTAATTATTCTAAGTCAATGTAACGAAAGAGAGGAAACAAGAAAAAAAAACTTGTGACAACTTTGGAAATTGCCACTCAGCTATTCTTTATGAGGTCTAGCAAAGAAAAATAAAAACACTTGCGCTTGTATTGGAGGCACACACTAATCTGTATGGATTCAGCTGTTCATTTTAGGTCTTTCATGACAATAAATAATGTTATCACATAAGGCATACTTTTAAGGTTAAAACACAGTTTCATTTTCCTTTGCCCTTCCACCCCTTCTCACGTCCTATTCACTCTTAATTGTTGGTCAAAATTCAAATTCTGAATCGGCAGCAAAGAGAACTCTAAAAACCTTTTTCTGGCCACTGGGCCAACTCCAGTGGTTAAAGTACGTACAGTAATCTACCCCCTAAAATGTCAAATTCTCCCACTTTGCTACCCTACTCTATTTATTTGTAACATTTAACCTCATTTTGTTTTCGAATTATTTCATTTCTACTTCATATCTGTATACAGTTTGTGTCATTTGATTGAACACAAACTTGGCCTGACAATCAAAACTAGTATTCTCTTGTGCCTTTCCTTTTTTAATTGACGATCTAGCAAAGAAAATTAAAATCACTTGCTTAAGCTTCTGTTGGAGGTCTTTATCAACCTCGATAGTTTTCTAGCAATGTCATAATCTAATGTTCTTTTTTTTTTGGCCAAATTTCCGAAAAATAATAGGCAATGGAATAGGTAATCAGATGGTTTTGACTTCAAGGCCAATTGTGGCAATACAAACTTGCTAGTGTTGCCTGTTTGACAAACTAATAGTGAACTGGGCAAGCCAGTTAACTAACAGTTTTGAGCACTAAATTAAGGGTTTGTTTGGCCAGCCTACTTTTGCATTTTTAAAATGTAAAGTTTATCCAAACATCGACAAGTTTGAATAAAAATATAAAAAAAAATACATTAAATAGGATATTAATGGTGGATGACAGAGGATGCTAGTGGTGGATTGCAAGTGGTGGGATGGCAAGGAAGGTTTTTCTTTTTTCTTTTTTTTTTTTTTGAAATATTATGATGTCTTTAGGTGTTTTGGATAAACACCAATATTTTCCTAAAAGACTACAATAAATTATAGTAAAATTTTAAACAAACATGCCAAAAAATACCATCGAAGCGGACCCTAAATTTTAGGAGGAGTTAAGTGATTTCAATTATAAGATTAGGAGGACACATAAAGCATCAAAGAGAAAAATCTGGATCACTGCACCCATAGCATGTTGAAGTTAATAGGCAGATAATTTTGTGGGATTGAATATTCACATCGTTCTAATTCTTTTTCAGGCAAGTGACTTGCATGCATAGCAAATTCCCAGGTAAAAACCTTTTAGCATTGTTACATCAAAAGTTTGTCAAGATGTTTACAGTAACCCTAGCAAATTGCCATGTTTGCACTGGTTGGTGTAATGAAGTTGTTGGAGTGCCTTGGGCAATGAATGTGTACAAAGATGGTGATTGAATTCATACAATGAATTTTGATATTTTCTTGACATATTTACATTTAGCTAACCTACACCCAGCCCCATTACAACCCCTCGTAAAGATGCTTTGATTTTTGCATTTAAATTCACTATCTAGTGGTGGAGATATGAAATATTTGCATGTCTAAGGTAATGTCAGTCCATTGTGTTGATTTTAGAGTTAATTAATCCCTAAACACTTTTAAGTGTTGAGTACATATATAATAAAATCCTTGTGAGGGTTGTTAACTCTTATGCATCTTGATTTTGAAGAAATTATGAAAGAGATGTGGTACTTGTGTTAGTTGAATATACTATGAAGTGCTTGCTATTTTGATTATGATTTTTAGGTTAGTAATGCTTGGGAACAAGCATTGTTTAGGTGTGCGGGAATTTGATAGTATACTAAATTGTTATATATTTTGTGTCAATTCTCCTTTCATTTTAGTAGATTATTTCATTATTGTGTGGATTCAACTTAAATTTTGTGTTTTGTTGATTTTTTAAGAATTGGAATAAAAGACTTTAAAAAGAGTCGCTGAGAAGATTATTTGATGTTAAACCCAAACGCATCTTAAAGAGGTTCCGGAATTTAGAAGTGCAGAAGAGACTAATGTCAGAAAATCGATCGATTATTTTCTTGAACTCTGGAAAAAGAGTCCAACAGTCCTATTTGTCTTTGGAAAGCTCTATTTTTATTTAAGATAATTAGTTAGGACTATTATTCTGCATTTAGCTTTATGAAAGGAATATTTTATTTTTATCTGGATAATTTCTGGGTTTTTAGGGGATATCTTTTTGAAGGGTGACGAGATTCTACCATGCACCAAACTTTAATAAAATCTAAATACCCCGTGATGTGCACGGGGTATGCATATAGTAATAAAGATCAATCCACAGTCAAGTTTTATATTTATAATTTCCTAAATTACGCCACACATGGTTTTCAGCAAATATACGGGTCGTGAGCGAGTATAGGGCAACTAGGATCAAATCCATAGGGAAGACGGACAACTACCGATATTACTATACTTTCTCTATTATTTAGACTCTTGACAAACTAGAACTAATGAATCTAAACTACTAATGGGAAGAAACCTGCAAATAAAAGCTTCTCGAGTAATAGAATACCTATCTACTCATGGTAGTGCAACTTTCAGACTAAATTAGTACTAAAACCTCGGCTAAATCATGGCATAATTTTCTTGTGTACGTGATATCCATTTTCACTGATGTACCAACCATATCTATAGCTAATCCATACTTACTTTCGTGGTTATCAAATCAACTATAAATTCATTTATTTCTATGAAATTACTACAAAACAAGCCACAAAGGTGCACCTCTACTTTCATTAGTGTATTCCCTAGGTTTAACACTTCTATAATGCAGTGTCAAATTTCAATTTTCATTTCAAATCTAACACCTTGAGATTACCACAATTAATGACCAGTTAATCATGATTTTGAAATCAAAAGTGCTAAATAACTTAATCAAGATAATATCCCAAAATAACCAAGAGATCAACACATAGCAATCATAGATAGTTCAACCAAATGCCCTAGGCATAAACTTTAAATCAACAACGACAACATAGTATCCAAACTAGTAGATTCACTAAATAAAGAGTTAAATACAAGATAAGGATGCCCTCTCTTTCGGGTTTCCTTTTTTAGAAGTTTAGGGTTTCCTGCGTCTTTCGTTCATGGCAGCTGAGGCAGATCCCCCACCTCAAGGTGGGGGTCCTTCTTCATCCCCCACGTCTAGGAAAACGTCGTTCTCTGCTCTGTTTGAGAACCAATCGCCGTCGGAGGTGGTGCAAGTCCAGGCGGCGCTATCCACACATCGAGGAGAGCTTGCGGTGGTGTTCAACGCGGCGGACATCACTGTTGTGGCGTCTCTTTTTCGCTTCACGCTGGTTGGGAAGTTCTCCAAGGGCCGTCCATTGCTGCCTGACTTGTGTAAGTGCTTCTTTTCTCTTGACTTGAAGGACTCGGTCTTTGTGGGTTTGTTAGATTCTAGACATGTGCTGCTGAGATTTAATGGGGAGGCAGATTTCCTTCGTGAGTGGTCTAGAAATCTGTGGTATGTCTATGGGTGCCCTATGAGGGTTTTCAAGTGGACTTCTAAGTTTCACGTCGATAGAAAGTCTTCCCTAGTTCCTGTCTAGTTCAGATTACCCAAGTTGCCGATTCATCTATTTGCCAAGCCGTGTTTATTTCATATTGCTTCCTGCTTGGGGAACCCACTGTTTGTTGATGTGGCAACCTCCTCGTTTACTCGTTCAAATGTGGCGTGGGTGTGTGTCGAGGTGGACCTATTGAAGTCGCTTCTGTCGAGGGTTTAGGTGGACAAGGGGGATAGTGATGGGTTCTGGCAACCCCTGCTACCGGAGAGCCTTCCCAAGTACTGCGGCCATTGTTACCGTCAAGGGCATGATGACGATCACTGCCATGTGAAATTCCCAGCGATGCGCCTGCCCAAGTGCCACCTCAACGAACTACTGGTCGAGTTGCAGAGGTGCTGGAGTTTTCTTCTCCAAAGGGCGACAACCTGGTTTCTGTAGATGGAGTGCGAGGGGCGACGATAGTTGCGGCTGCTGACCGTGTGGAACCTGGTGCGGCACTGACTGGGGTGGAGGGGCAAACCGTGATTTTAGGGGGTGATATATCAGTCGTGGGGCACTCTGCTGCGCCGTCGCTGACCTGCGGACCGCTCCGACACAGACCCAACAGCCTGGGCTTGCTGCTGCGCTTGTGGAAGCGGGTGCTATCCCTGCTATTGTGCGAACAGATTTGGTGCCCTCTGCTGCGCCACTTTTGACTGTCGACGTGGGTGACGTGCAGCCCACACCGCCACAACCCCAGCTGCCTGGGGTATCTGCTGTTGCATTGGTGGAGAAGGTGATTGCTACCGCCGCTGATACCCTCATTCACAGGTTGGCTGAACAAGTGATCCGGGAACCCGAGGAGATGCCCATGGGGGCAGACCTGACAGCGGTAGACCACGCGTCTGGTAGTGGTGGTCTTGTGGAGGAGAGGTGTCGGCCTGCCTTAATCGGGGCTAAATCGAGTGAACCAGGGATGGAGGGGAGCGTGGTGGGGCTGTCTTCATCAGCGAGAAACCTCTTCCCCAGAGGTCAGCCAGTTATAAAGGTGGTGCTGCCATGCGTTTCCAACGATGCCTTGTGTGCGCAGGATGACTCTCTCCAGATGGTTCGTTGGCATAACGGCTATCACTCAATCGCCCCTTCAAATAGAACTTTTAGCTCTTCAGTACCCAAATCGCAGAATTCCTTCCAAGCATTGCCTGATGATTAACTCTCTCTTCTGGAATATAAGAGGTTTGTTTAAACCTTCTCACTTTAGACGGCTTAAGAAAATTATTTCGCAAAATCACATTCAGCTTCTGGCAGTTTGTGAAACTCGTGTTAGTAGTATGCTTGCGGATGTTTTTAGGCAAAAGCTCCGTTTC